ATTATTATTATTATTATCATTACACTGTTAAAATATTGACTAGATCGGAGATTAGGACACATCTCTATTGGGTTTCACTAGAGGCCTTCCTGAAAGTTGATATTATCCCATTAATGATTGTTATTTGGATTTGGTCAGCTCATTCTGAATCTATGTAGCTGTACTGTCAGCTGTCCCATATCTCTCCATCTATATGTTGGGAGAGCTGGCCAGATTGTTTAAAAACAAATCCCATCAACTTTACTAAAATAAAGAAATATTCTGTTTATGGCATTTCCCCAATCTACCAATAAAGTAACACTCAAAATGGAAAATTGAGTTATTCTGGTATAATAACCTATCCCAGATGAAGCCTTGTTGGTTCTCAGTGACCACTTCTTCCTTTCTAAATATTCATAAACCATTTCTTTCATAAAATGATCAAAATTGTGTGAACAATCAAGCTTGTAGCTTACAGTTGCAGGCCCCTTTCTTCCTTTTTTCAGAAAATAGGAACAACATTGGCCATTGCTAGGAAGGCAACAGCCCTTCCATTCTCTGTTACAGCCTCTCGTTCACTCTGATAAAAGCCCAGGAATTGTGCCCATTGGGTCATTTAATGCTAAATTTAGAATGTAGTTCATCTGGGTTTGGTGACCTGAATTCCTTGTTTGATCCTTCCAGGCCCAGAGGTTGTTCCCTTTGGTAGAGAGAACAGAGGCAACGTGAGAGTTGAGTAGTTATGACTTCTTTCCCTTGTTAGTTATCATTGTCCCATCCACTCCCAATGATATCAGGATCATCAATTTGGAGATGGACCTGACCCTAGAAGTCTTCATTATCCTAATCCCCTCATTTTACGGATGAGGAAACTAAGGGCAGGAGAGGGGAAACCATTTACTCAAACTCACAAAGGCAGCAAGTGATGGAAGTGGGATTCTAGCTTGGGTTCTCTGACTCCACATCCAGGGCTGTTTCTGCTGTGCTGTGTGGCCTATTCTTCTCCCCAACACAGCCCCTAAAGCCTTTTTTGTCATACTTGAATTTCCTCATCAACCTTAACTCTTTCAGACTATTACGATTGGTAATACTGGTGATGATATATTTTAAAAATATTTGATTTTTCTCAGCTACATGTAAACAAAATTTTAACATTCATTTAAAAATTTTTTTAGTTTCAAATTCTTTCCCTCCTTTCCCTCCCTCCTGTCTTTCCTCCTTGAGAAGGCAAGCAATTTTGTATGGATCATACATGTGGTGTCATGGAAAACATTTCCATATTAGCCATGTTGCAAAAGAAAATGCAAACCAAAAGAAAGGAAGAATAATAAACAAAGTAAAAAAAGTGGTGCTTCAGTTTGCATTGAGACTCCATCAGTTCTTGCTGTGGAGATAAATAGAATTTTTCATCCTAAGTCCTTCAGAGTTGTCTTGGATTATTGTATCACTGAGAGTAGCTAAGTTATTCACAATTGGTCATTGTACAATATTGTTGTTACTTTGTGCAATGTTCTCCTGGTTTTACTTATTTCACTTTGCATAAGTTTGTGTAAGTCCTTCCAGGTTTTTCTGAAGCATCCTGCCTGTCATTTCTTATGGGACAATAGTATTCCGTCACAATCATATACCACAGTTGGTTCAGCCATTCCCCAATTGATGGGCATGATGACGCTATTTTTATAGGACCATACTACTCTTAAAGTCATTATCTCTTACCTGCTTTTGTTTCCATCTTCTGTACAGAAATATCTTTAAGGAATCTCAGTTGTTTAATAAATTCCCTATGAGAATCCATTTCCGTCTCTTTAGACATCCTCTCTTCTCTTCCTCACTGTAATAATTTCTGGTTGTGTCATTAGAATTGTATTCATGGAGCTCGTCCTCTAGAATTTCAGACTAAGGATACTATTTATATTTTCTTCATAGTCTTGGGAAGGAATTTTCTTAAGACTTAATATAATTGGAAGGATAGTCACTGCTCATGGTTGGGCCATGCTAATATAATAAAAATGATCATATTGCCTAAATTTAGCTCCCAAAGGAGCTAATGGAGAAATGACACCTTATGTATCTTGTGTGACTGACGTTAGCTCACAGTCCTCAGAAGGACGGACAGCAGGAGAGTGATTCCGTGCTTCGGGAGCTGGGTTGTAGAAGAGTGTGGAGTGGGTAGGTATGGCGAACAAACAGGCAGTGCCAGGAGCAAGGACAGACCTCGCCAGTCTTTTTGGCAGGGGTCAGCCCTGATTGCTCACCTGACCTCTCAGTCCTCAGAAGACCTGGAGTCAAGTCTTGTCACTTAAATACAAATTATGTTGACTGTGGGCAACTTCTGGACTTCTCTTCTGTTAAGGCATAAATGATCTCAAAGGTAATTCTAGCCCCAACACAATGTGGGTTACCTGTAGATTCCTTTATCTCTGTCATACTTGTCACACTGTGCCCTAGTGATAAAGCAAAGGATGGGAGTATTTTGGCTTTAAAGAATGGTAAATAGAATTATGTGACTGATAAAAATCATGATCAATGAAATTAACACTGGAAGTGAGACAGTAGTAAACAGCAGGGGTGTGTGTGTGTGTGTGTGTGTGTGTGTGTGTGTGTGTGTGTGTGTG